TTCCGAACATGCTGCTACCTAGAAAAGCGTAGCAGAGCTGAGCATCTATAGGATAATGGATGAGGGCTCTGTAGACATATTAGCAAGTGACTACAACGAGATTCAAATGAAGGCCACTTTCAGCATGATAAACATTGTGAGAGAGGAGAAGGGGTGCAGCATATTTTCTACCTTCCCCACTCATTGTCTCCCTTACTAGAATTTGGGTTGCAAACTGATAATGCAGCAGCTCTCTTTGAACAGCTCTCTTTCCCCCAGATCGTCAGCTGTCTTGGGTATATAGTTCTTGGTGGACTACTCTTGGTTGTTTTTCATTCGCCTACGGACCCTCCTTTTCTTCCTGTACTGCAAAGAACTATCGTCACTGAGATTCCCAGCTGCTGGGGTCTCAGACTGGCAGCCGCGATCTTTCTTCTTCCATTCACACATCCATTCATTCATAGGCGGCAAAAGACAGTTGGGTCTTTGTGGAATGGGCTGACACCAATATTTTGGATCGTGGCAGCTGGGAATTTAACTATTGGCACAGGCGGGTATTCCACAACAGCTTGCTAGTCTTAAAACAGGCTCGTGGACCCTCCTGGAGATGAGGAAGACTCAATATCGTACTTTTTTGAGGGCCACATTCCCTTGTGGGTAATCTTCCAGGGGCCATTCTGGCTAGACAAAAGACTCAAGGAGGGCACGTAGCAAGTGGGATGGAGTCAGGGGAGGGTCACAGCCTGGGGTGCGTCCTAAGGGCCAGACAAAGAGGTGTGGGATTAAAGTTTCCCACCGCTGATTGGCAAGAGACAGCCTGCACATGCATGATAAAGGGAAATGATCCTTCCACATGTTGATGTCTCGACAGGCATCTTTTATTTTCTTTAGAAAATCTTGCTACTTAATTTGAAATCACAGGTGCACAGGGGTAGATAGGACTCCTTAGGAGGCAGGTGCTTCTATGAGATTTACTGGAACCGTATTTTCCTGGCAGTGCTATACTTGCAAGGCTGTAAGCCTGCTTCTTAAGGTCTCAAGAAGGCAGCTTCTGCATGTGCCATAGAGGGAACTGAGGGGCAGATGGGGCTCATCAACCTTGGAAGGCAGCCCATCTAAGAGAAGTAAAACTCTGACCCTAAACCTCCACTGCTTTGCAGGGTATCTTCAGGAGAAGAAAAGACTAAGGAGTAAACCCCACACAAATCTGGAATGGAGTCCCTAAAATGGTTGATGGAGCCTTCCAGCAACTCCTGCAACCAAACATATAGCCCTGCTTACCCATCAGCGAGGCCAAGAAGAGGGTCATCGCCTGGGTGGCCCAGGACCTCCATCCACACTGCCCAGGCTTACACCCCGGGGAGGTCACTTTGGTGCTGCTAATGCAGCAATTTGGCTCCCCCCACCTCTTGAGACAGATGGGTGCCAACAACAATACATACATAGTTTGTGTCCTGGCATCAACCATACCAATATATTACATGCAAATTTGGCCTTCCAGTGATAATCATTACCTGCAAAATATGGCCCAGTTCACATGATGTGCTGGGAGAATCCCTAGCTTAGCGGCCCTCCGAACCTCTCTCTCTGGCCCTTGGCACTCTCCCCAGACCACAGACCCTCTGCAGCCAGACCCCTCACTGGTCCTGTTTCACATTGTACTTGAGTGTTTTTGCCTGGCTCCTTGAACTTTGATAATGGCTTTTGCTTGGCTGGATGGAGGAAACAGCGGCGTATTTAAGTGTCTACAGAATCTAGCCTTCTGCACCAAGGCAAAAAAAAATCTGCATTCATTGCTCTGCCCACTTTTGCCTCTGGCACCGCCCACCACTAGTATGCAGCTCCCAGAAGGTAATGGCTGAAGAAAGGTTTTCTACCCCAGATGTAGTGAGGTCACACGAACATGTAGGCTCCTGGAGAAGGCTTTGCTAGTGCGTTTTGCTGCCACACTGCGGTGAGCTAAATCAAGGCTTGGTAGTGCATCCTCCAACTTGGGACTCTTGGTTAACTGGTAAACTGTGGCCATGAACAACTCCTGGCTCCAGCTGATGGCTAGTGAGTAGGGGGTCCTTCATCACAAGTCCTCGCATGGACAACACACGAAATCAAACCTTGCCTTAGCACAGCACAGCAGCCACAAGAACCAGGGCAAAGTGGCAGCGGAATCTTCTCTGGGAGGCTGCAAGTTCATGCAGTCTCACTAGGTCACGATTTGTCTTAGGATGTTGTGTGAACCAGGCCTATGGCAGATCACTCAGTGGCAGGGGCAGCAAAGGAAGGGTCAAGCTGAACTTTATTTGAATTTAATTCAGAGGAGGAGGACGGAGGGGGTGGGGAGAGAAGAGGAAGATCCCCCACCCCTTTTAATGCTGCAAAGGGCGTCTACACATTGCTCATAGCAAAGGAGCTAATCTATTATTGATCAAGAAATAATTAGTGTTTTAAGGGACTCCTGGAGAAAAACCGGAAAGGTGGAAGGCAGAAAGGAGCACGACCACAAGACCATGTAAGAAGCCTCAGGGGACTTCCGAGGGCTGACGCTTGGCATTTGCGTGGTCTGCGTCATCACACTAAGCTGTCAACATGCAGGCTTCTCTGAATAGCAACAGCCAGTGGAAATATTTCATGGCATTTTCAAGAATTGGATTCAGGGAACTCCCACATGGATTGGCACTGGGCGTAACATGTCCACAGAAAACTTGAACCAATTTGCTGCTCACAGCGTTCAGCAACGCCGAAGCTTCATTATTATTTTTCTACCTCTCCCTTGAAAACAAACAATGGATTGCTGAATATAATACCGTGAGTGATTTCATCTCAGTAAGATATAAGTGCCCTGGATTGGTGCGGACCTGCTCATTTTTCTACAGCAGGATACCACTGTCTCTAAGCACTGTATTATTTAGAAAAGAAAGCAGCAACACCCTCAACACAATAGCATTATAACATTAGCTGAACAACGGCCCCTTTAGAAATCTCTTTTTAAACAAGGAAAAACTATGGGGGGGGGGAGAATGTTCCTCCTAGAAGAGGATGGGCACTGACTGGGGTTTCAAAATATTGTGAAGGAAATGAAGAAGAGGAAGAGGGAAGCAATGTGTCATCCAAGGATTCCATTTTCCTTTACTGACCAAAAAAATAAAATTAAAACAAAAATCCTATACAATCTCCTGAGATAATCTGAATTCTGTTTGAGGGTGTGCGTGAGAGAGAGAAGAGTGTTGGAGGAATGGGAAGAGAAAGGGCTACAGAACGACACCTGTTTGTAAACAGTCTCTTTGTTCACTAGGGGAGGATTATCTCTAAACGGATTTAGGATCCACACACAGGATTTCAAAGCTCCTAATGTTATCGCCATTCACTGGAGAGGCCGGTTCACGGCAACTCCAAATGACTGGAGGAGATTTTCTATAAGTTGATTGCAGTTGACTGCTTTTTTTCCCCTCTCCCGCTTTTCTTTTTCCAAATCAACCTTGTTAATCCATTCATTAGATGCGGCTTAATTAACAGGGGCAGTGAGACAAGGACGGCGGGAAGAAGATGGGGAACCGATACCCTTCCCCCAATGTTGGTTGTTTTTTTTGTTTGTTTTGCTTGAAAGCTATCAGCTATCTCTCCTCTTCCCAAATACGCTTTCTACATGTTTTACACACTGGCTTCTATTTTAACCAAAGGCTAAATTCCTCCCTGACTGTGACACAGAAGTAAACCCCATACGGTTTGACATTTGTGGGATTTGAGGCTGAGCGCGAACGGCGCTCTCCTCCCTTGCCAACGTTAATGCAAACTGACAATAGTAGAGGCCCGGGGTCATGTGACTTTAATCAGCGCGGCCCTAAGCCAGCAGAACCACATTAATTATTTCGGGGCTTTCTTTTCCATGGGCAGAGGGGGTGGGGTGGGGGGAAACTTGTATATCAAGAAGAGGAGGCGTCTGCTCAGCCTTCCTCTTTGGGTTGCTTCTCAGAAAAAGGTGGGGCATCGTAAAAGGTGCAGGAAGAGCCCCAGAGCCGACCGCCAGGGAAGTTTTACAGCATCTTGCATTACCGCAACAATCTCTCCATCTTCGGAAAACTGGTTGGTTACAGCTCCCTGCCCCCCCTTGCTTTTTCTCCTTCTCCCCCACCACTGCACACTCTTCAAACAAATGGAGAAACTTTCACTCTGCAGCCAGTTAACTCCCTATAATGCTTCTTGATCTGTGTCACTCCCTGGAGTGGCACAGTCCTCTGTTTTTAATTGTACTTTTCGGACAGCAGCCTACAAGCTATTAGCCGGCGTGTCAACCAGGTAACCGTTCCACAGAGAAACAAGATCAGGACGGACAGGGGAATATTGATTCTCTCCCCTTCCCCCCACACTCCCGCAGCCCTCCATCTTTCCTCTAAAAAGGCAATGGGCTGTGGGGGGGCGGGTTGAGGGGGGAACCTACACCTGCAGCATAACGCTGCTAAACCCAGGCAAAGCCAACAAACAACAAAGGATGCCCTACAGAGAGCAGAAGAGAAAGTCGGACATGCGAAAGGCTCAGGCAGGGAACTAGGATGATACCCTTAGCATTACAAAAAGGGTTCTCTTCTCCGCCTCCCTCCTCTGTTGCCGCTGTTAGGAAACAAGCTTCAGGAATTCCCTCTCCCCCAATTATCCACCATATAGTGCATGATAAGGCTCAAAACGAGTGCAGCCCGCTGCTAGCGGATGCCATCTGAAAGGGAGGTGGAGTCTCCACGCGCAATTGTGCCAAGAAGGAAACAATGGCATTTTCAGGGGCAAGTTAAATGCCTGTGAAGAGCAGTCCACCAGAAGTAAGGCTGAATTCCGTCCAAGCCCACACACCCCTCCGTCTGCCCATCCCCTCCAGCTCGCTGGCCAAATCCTCTCCTGCGCCGCATTCTTCCCCGGCTAAACCCTGCTCAGCACAAGCCATGCAAAAGCGATCAAGTGCAGCGACAGAACCGCAACTTTCAAACGGAATGACAACCACCGGGGTGGGGTTGGAGGGGAAGGAGGGAAAAGAAGGGGAGCCCCACGGACCCACACAGTATTTTTTTATTATTATTATTTCGCATTTCCAGAAACGCCCACCCATGCCTCCGACAAGAAAATAATCAAACAGGTATAGTAGCTCTGTAAAAGTGCTTACCGACTTTGGGCTCTTCTTAGGGGCTGGCAGTCCTGGGGAAAAATGGCAACAAGGAGGGGGGGAAGAAAAAACAACAACAAACCATTAGCAGCATATAAATCTTTACCTTCCTTAAGGGGGGTGGGGGGGAGAAATCCCTAGGTGTATCATCCGAACGTAGCCATCTGCAGAGTTATGTCAGATTTTGCTCTAGCATCAGAGTTGCCAGTCTGTTCATATCGAATCAAAGCACAGCGTTGGAGGTTTGTGGGGGGGGGGGGAGTCGGAGTGGGGAGGGGAAAGAGAGAGAGAGAGAGCGCGCTCGGAGAAGGGAGGAGATCTATCTGCATTAGCTATGCTGACTTGTGCTGCAGCAGCCTGGAGGCTGGAGAAAGAAATTCACAGACCTCAGCGGCATGGGAAATTGAACACTTGGACAGAATCTCAAACGCTCCCCTGGATTAAGAGGGACTTAGCTCACAATTAAGCCAAGGATATTACCTTTTGACACGGCCGGCGTGTCAAATTTATCAGACCAATTGGAACGGTAGTGCAGAAGCACAAGCTAAGACAGGCAGATAAGAGAGATGATCTGCTTCTACATACTTAAAAATAAAATAAAATAACGCGAGCCTTTTTTGGGGGTGGGGGTGTATGTATGTTTTCCCCACCACAAGCTATTTATCTCTAAGAAGGGTCAGTTATAGATACAGAGTCTCCTGGCAAACCCTTTAAGTTTGCTTCCAAGTCCAGTCTGCATGATTCTAGGCAGCGATCACCATCAACTAGTTAAGAGTGCAGCAGATTCACAATGAATGCAATGTTATTTTTGGATAGGGAGAGGTGAATGGGTGGCCAGGGAGCAGAGGCAGGGAGAGATTTTTTTTTCCCTTTCTTTCACTCTCCTGGGCATTAACGGCGATGAAAATGCAAATGAGAAAGCATTTAATGCTGAGAGGGAAAGCCTAGAGGAGGTTTTACATTTTGGAGACAGACCCGGAACACTGCCGCATATCATTGTTTCTCTGACAGTGGGGAAACTGGATAAAAGGAGTCTCCCAGTCCCTGCCATTGGCATTTTCTTTTCTTTTTTTGGTAGCACAATGTCCCACTGGAAATGGAGTTCATGCTTAAGGGAAATGAGTCTTAATAAAGGAAGACAATGTCCCTAAGCAGATGTGAGAAGGTAAGAAACAAATTACTTTAGAAATCAGGGAAACAGGAACTGTGGTGGAGCAAATAGCTAGAAGTGCTGTTTCAACTATGTGTTAAAAACTGCAAAGCAACTCAACAGTGTGAAATCTGCTCCCATTTTTAAAAAAAAACACTCACATAACATTATGCTCTCTTTTCTTTCTATTGCTCCTTTAATGCATTAATGTGATAAATAGCTTCACGATCCAATGCTACGCAGAGAATGAAGCATGTTGTGTGAATGAAAAATAAATAAATAAATAAATAAATAAATAATAATAATAATAATAATAATAATAATAATGTGTGTGAATAATGGCTTCTGGTGATATGCAACATGATGTCAGATGTCCACAATAAATTCGTATTGACTTATTGATATATAATAGATCTTTAGGATCAATATGGAGTAGTCAGCTTGTGCTCCTGTATATCAGTGATTTCTAAAACCTTAGAAATCACTGATATACAGGAGCACAAGGCTGGCCCATGATATCAAATATTTACTATATAGGAGCCAAACATGAGAAATGCTGAACTAGAATGGCCCTTTATAAGCTGATGCAGTTGTACTAAAAGCATTGTATTATACTGCAAATGTTCTATGTCTGGTATTAGCCAGTAATTGAGATACTTGTCTATAAATGATCTTCCTTAAATACAAGTGGGCCCCTGACAAAATTTCTTGTTGACATGGTGCACCTTCAAGCTTAACACTGTCTAAACATCACCCAATAAGGGCTTCCTTTTGCCCCACCCTCCTCCAGCTCATATGTTCATTTATTTTATTTTATTTTTACTGGAGTGCACATGCAATAGATGAATCTGTTTGCTGGAGCCACGTTTTACTTAGGAAACCTGTCAAGGGTCCTTTCCACGAAGTAGGCCGCTAGAAGGAAAGCAAAGGTGGTGGCCCACTAAAAGGAGCAAAGCAAAAGCACCGTCCAAAAACATAAGCAAAGAGTTTGGTTTAAATATACACACTCAGAGGTTCAATTCTTCTGACAGGTCACTAGTAATGGACAGTCTACACACAACAGCTTCAGCTGATGAAAGCTGCAGATGACACTGCTAATAACAGTGAGCATTTACATATAAAGTATGCAAAGCAGCTCACATTCACTGTCTCTTAACAACAATCCTTAAAATGGGCTGTTACCCATACTGCAGATGAAATAACTGAGGCTCATACAGAATGGGTTGCCCAAGTCCACCTGGGAAAGTTTGAAGCTGGAGGTAAAATCTGAACCAAATACATAGAGGTCCTCTTAGCCACTCCACTCCAACAGGTGCACATAATACACACACCCTGCAACACACACACACAATAATCTTCACTTCACCTTCGACCTCACAGTCCCAGCCAGGGACTGATGGGGAGCCTCCCTCATTATTATTTCCTAGTCAAGGGTGTTCTCAGTCCCCACAAAATTTTCAAGCCCACTTTCAGAGAGAAATTCTAGGATCGAAAAAATGGTTTGGTTTGAGAAAAAGAGTCAAGGTTTTTTTGTTTTTTAAATGAAATTTAATTACACACGAGCCCTGTTGAGGAGGAGGGCAGAAAATTTAATTTCATGGATCTGTTATAATAATAAGTCTAAATCTGAGCTGGAAGGAGTATGGATTTGGGCATCGTATATTGTTTTAGCTAGGAAGGCCTCTTGACTTGCTTTAGACAAAAAAAGCACCTCCAAATTTAACTTATGTTACAAAAGATACAAGTGAACATTTTTTTTAAAAAAGAAGCATACCACAAAACAGTACTGAGCACATTTGTAGATCTTAATCATAGCAACAAACAGGTTGTTTCCTACATAACAAGTTTCCTTCAACTGGTGTATGTAAAGTTTCAAAGATTCAACTCCTTACTTAGGTGGCAAGCCTATACCCACTTACCAGGGGGGTAAACTCCAATGAACTAAGGCCCCTGCTCGGGCAGGTCCCTTCATAACACACCTCCATCACCTGCAAACCTACAAACCCTTCACACAGAAAATTTCACAACCTCTCCACACAAAACTCATGTGAAGATACTTCTGGCACACTTCAAAAATGGATACAAACTGAGGAACACATCTGTCTCTCTCTCTCTCTCTCTCTCTCACACACACACACACACACACACACACACACACTTCGCCACCCCCACTTTCCTCATCTACTGGACCAAAAGCCTCCTCAGTCGGGAGTCAGCCATCTTTATTTTGGTAACATGCTCCTCATATGGCACTCACTTGCCTTTACTGAAATTATCTGTTTAAATGAGAAATAAAAAAAATCACACTTTTATGAACACACAGTTGATTTTCGCCAAAAAGGAAAGGCAATACTCCCGACAATTTGATTATTTTTTTTTGAGAAAATCTAAAACAGCAAAAAAGGAAAAATAAAGGTATGGTGCGGTGGGCAAAAAGGGATGGGGAGGGGAGGCCCCCAAAAGGGAAATTTGAAATTAAGGAGAAATGCTTGAAAAGCCATTTCTCAGCTTGCTTGCTTGATTTAGCTAGCTAGCTAGGTTCTCACATAGACATTCTGGGTCAAAGATTCGATGGTTGGGACAAATCTAAGCCTTGAAGAAGCTTTCCCAACTAGGCACCCTCCGAAATTGTTGGACTACTACTCCCGCCAGCTCTAGTCAAAATAGCCAATGGCCAGGAATGATGGGAGTTGTAGTTCAACAATATCAGGAGGGCACAAGATTGTAGAAGGCTGCCTTTGGCTGTGTTTCCTTTTCAAAGTTTGTTGTTGTTGTTTAGTCGTTTAGTCGTGTCCGACTCTTCGTGACCCCATGGACCAGAGCATGCCAGGCACCTCTGTCCTCCACTACCTCCCGCAGTTTGGTCAAACTCATGCGGGTAACCTCGAAAACACTATCCAACCATCTCGTCCTCTGTCATCCCCTTCTCCTTGTGCCCTCCATCTTTCCCAGCATCAGTGTCTTCTCCAGGGAGTCTTCTCTTCTCATGAGGTGGCCAAAGTACTGGAGCCTCAGCTTCACGATCTGTCCTTCCAGTGAGCACTCAGGGCTGATTTCCTTAAGAATGGATGCGTTTGATCTTCTTGCAGTCCATGGGACTCTCAAGAGTTTACCTTTCTGTTTCCAGGGTCATCTCAACCTGCTCTGAACCTATGGGGCAGTGTGACACCTAACGCAACTTCTAATGAAAAAGTGTGTGAACTGACTCATTGACCTGCTGCTTGCTTGTGAGAAAGCTTGCAGCTCTACAATGGGGGAACAATCCTTGTCTCCAAGAGTCTGTTCAACTTTAACAGCTGACGTACCAGGAAGCAGAACAGAACAGAACATTGGCACCTGAGCTGCCTTTATCTAAGCCAGCCTTCGCCAGCATGGTTGGCACTAAGGTCTGCTGCCCTCCGAAACGAAACCATATGTCCACCACACTATCACAAGGAATTCTAGGAAAGCCAGCATAAGCCACTCACTATCTAAAGAGCTGGACCAGGTTGCAGCAAAATTCAGTGCAAGTTCCACCTCTATAAGTTCCTCCCAGTTGCGGTTTCCCATATGTATAGAATTAGATTATCAGTGAATCTGATTAAAACTGCGAGGTGTCGTGTAAATTATAAATGCTTTCTACATATCATAAATAGTAACGTTCTCAGAATGTTTTCATGCATTGGATAAATCCCAGAAGCAAGCAGGGTTCCTCAAGAGAGATGGGTGGCGTGCTCAAGAAAAAGTGGGCTCTCTATGAGGTGGTGCAAGTCAAAATGGGGAGCACTGCAAGCACTTCAAGGTAAACTGGCAATCCAGACAGGGGGATGCGGGGAAGTTTCAGGCTGGAATCTGCTGAAAGCAGAAGAGTTTGGATTTGATATCCCGCTTTATCACTCCCCTTAAGGGGTCTCAAAGCAGCTAACATTCTCCTTTCCCTTCCTCCCCAACAACAAACACTCTGTGAGGTTTCACTAACTTAGTTGGTCTTTAAGGTGCTACTGGAAGGAATTTTTTTTGTTTTGAGTATGGCAGACCAACACGGCTACCTATCTGTATCTGTGAGGTGAGTGAGGCTGAGAGACTTCAGAGAAGTGTGACTAGCCCAAGGTCACCCAGCAGCTGCATGTGGAGGAGCGGAGACACGAACCTGGTTCACCGGATTACAAGACTACCGCTCTTAACCACTACACCACACTGGCTCTCGAAGGAATGCCTCTTGACGAATGATAGCATCCGAGTGAGATGATGGGGAGAGGAAGCCACCACCGTTATGGACAGAGGGCAAAGTGGCAGGAATGGTTGTGACTCATAAGTCAAGCTTGTAATCAGAGGGGATGATTGTACCCAGAAAGCTAAACATTTTTAGCTCTTCCCCACAAAAAATATTTAAAAGTATCTAGCACAAAAGGCCACGGGTGGCGCTGTGGGTTAAACCTAGGATTAGAGCCTAGGACTTGCCAATCAGAAGGTTGGCGGTTCGAATCCCCATGACGGGGTGAGCTCTCGTTGCTCGGTCCCTGCTCCTGCCGACCTAGCAGTTCTAAAGCACGCAGTACAAGTAGATATATAGGTACCGCTCTGGCAGGAAGGTAAACAGCATTTCCGTGCGCTGCTCTGGTTCGCCAGAAGTGGCTTAGTCATGCTGGCCACATGACCCGGAAGCTGTATGCTGGCTCCCTCGGCCAATAAAGCAAGATGAGCGCTGCAACCCCAGAGTCGGCCATGACTGGACCTAATGGTCAGGGGTCCCTTTACCTTTACCTAGCACAAAAGGTCATGTATGTCTCACAATTTTCAGGATTCTTACGCAGGGACATCTCTGAAAATTTAAGAACAATTACCCACAAAGCAGGGAGATTGTGTGTGTTTGTGTACACACGTGCACGCACGCACACGCATACACGCACCCCCTAAAACTGAAATGGTTGCCACAAAAGGAAACCACTGCAGCTATCCTTCTGAAACCTGGCAGAATTCATGCACTCTGAAGAGGTAACCTTGCCTGTAAATTTCATCCCCCAAATAAACACATTATGGAAGTTTTCCCTTCTATCCCCTGCCCCCCAAAAAGCAAGTTAAACTTTAAAGATGCCCAGCACAAAATCCCCTTTTTTCAGTAATTCTGAAGGCTTTATTTAGTTTAGAGACATTTAGTATACCTGTATTATTTCACACACTTCTGTCAAAAGCAGGAGGGGGAGTGAGAGCCATTTTTGATATCTCAATCATGAATGGAGGGAGAAAATGAAGGAGAAATTGGGCAGACTATGACATGTCTTGCTCTGAAACTGTTTGCCCAAGCACCAAACCGGGGTATCAATAGACTACTAATATTCTATAAACATGTATGGATTCACCTTTTATAGAATTGTGTTCTCTCTCTCTCTCTCTCTCTCTCTCACACACACACACACACACACACACACACACACACACACATTTGGTCACTCATTTGGACAGAGTAATCTCAGCAATGAGATATTCCCTAATTAATAATAATAATATGACAGCAAAGTAAAACTTTTGCATTTTTAAAATGAACAAGGGATTTGCTTATGGCACCCGGGTTATTAAATGTTAAAATGTAATAAACATGAATGACTGAAAAAACCTTCCCTCTCAGTGTTTGCCATTAATTCCAGCTCCCCCCCCCCAATGAAAATAGCTGGGGGAAATTGGTGGGAAATACTGTATACACAAGCTACTGCTTGGCATTTCAAGGGCCCATGAATCTTGCAAGGGTTTTGCTCTTTGCCAGAGTTTGTTGCAGAACAAGCAGTAATTGACTTCTTACCAAAACAAGCTAACACACACGATTTGTATGAAAAAATACACATATACAACACAGGCGGTTTGCATCCAGACAAAATGTACCATCACAAGGAACAGCCTGGAGAAGACTTTCTTGTTATTACTTGCCTATAGAGTGGTGCTTTCTAATTTAAAAGCAGGGCATATTTACAAGTGTAATTCCAGCTGCCAAGGACCGAGCCAGGAAATAAATGTGCCGCAATCTGCATTGTGTATTCTCAACTGAAGGACAAGGAGCAGCAGTACCAGCCAACAAGAAACCACAGCTGAGGATTTCCCTGTGCATTTGGAGATTGGCAGTATTAACACTGCCTTTCTTTAGCTGACTTCCATAGACACTGCTGTCCTTTATTAGGGTAGCAACGTGATGCCCTTCTGAAAATGCTGTGCTACAACTTCCATCAATCCCAGCAAGGAGGGCCAACGATCACAAATGATGGAAGCTGTTGTCCAGTGACATTAGGAAAGCATTGCACTTGCGCCTCCTCCTTTGTGTACTCTGCTTGAGCACATCCCTTAATCAAACATGCAGAAATAAATATGCAAAATGTTGTATCTAACCAAGATCTACTCAAAGTAAAAAGGTAAAGGAACCCCTGACCATTAGGTCCAGGCATGGGTGACTCTGGGGTTGTGGCGCTCATCTCGCTTTATTGGCTGAGGGAGCCAGCATACAGCTTCCGGGTCATGTGGCCAGCATGACTAAGCCGCTTCTGGTGAACCAGAGCAGTGCACGGAAACGCCGTTTACCTTCCCGCCGGAGTGGTACCTGTTTATCTTCTTGCACTTTGACGTGCTTTTGAACTGATAGGTTGGCAGGAGCAGGGACCGAGCAACGGGAGCTCACCCTGTCATGGGGATTCGAACCGCCAACCTTCTGATCGACAAGTCCTAGGCTCTGTAGTTTAACCCACATCCATTAACTTCGGGGGGGGTCTGTTCTGAGTAGGATTAGCATTGGATACAGCCCAAGGTTAACAACTGCATTGCCACCAAGACTGAAAGGGGGATAGGTTTCACAAACAAGTATTTTTAAGCTAATGAATGCCACGGATTAGAACTGTCTCTGCTAGGGTAACAAACAGAAACTCCCCACGAAGATTTCATTAGCAAGCAGCAAGAAGGTAACTTGCTGTAAATGTCATGCAGTGGAAGATGAGACTTAGCCTTCCCATTGCCATCAGTCATTGTCTTGGGGGAATATAGCCACCTACCCAAGAAAACTTACTTTAGCATTTCTATAGTAAGTTGATCATCATCACTAAGTTTGGAGATTCTGGTGTTCCTCCCCATTCTCTGATTTAACAGGGATGCATGGCAAAATGTTCACCCTGGAGGATGTTATAAATGTCCAGCTTGATAATGATTGCATGCATAGTGTGCTAAGCTATCGCTTGTTGCAAAGTTGCATTCGTCTCTCATCAAGGCTAGCCTGCAACATGACCTGAAGGGCAGCACTGTAGAAAATGAAAGTGCTGCAGGATCATTACACTCCAGAAAAGTGTAGCATGGCATGGCGAAACTGAATAGGAAAACCTTTTTCGCCCTCTCTCACAACACTAGAATTTGCGGACATTCGATGAAGCTGAATGCTGGAAGATGCCGGGTGGAGAAAATAAAGATTTCTTCACACAGCGCATAAATAAAAAGTATGCTGTTCACTCCCAAAGTAGGCAGTAACGACACAGCGATTCTTCAAACAGCTCTTGTTTATTCACAGGACAGGACAGAACTGGGCTGAAGGGTTCAGCCAGCCTGCTTATATAGAGCTCCACTAGAAAGCAACAGTAACCACTTTCTGTAACTATCCAATCACTGAACGTCACTTTCCATCTCTTATTTGCATATGCGGACCTGAGTGAAAACTATCTACAGTATCCCTCTGCTGGCCCAGGGTGAGAACTTCAGTACATAACAAGACCATTTCATGGTGGATAAGACTAGCCATGGCTACTAGCTACCAACTCAGCCCATTGCATCCATCTGGCTCAGGACTGTCAACAATGATTGACAGTGGGCCTCCAACATTGGAGGAAGGAGTCTTTCCTATCCCTACCTGGAGATGCTAGGGACTGAACTAGGGCTTGTGTACACAAAGCATGGGGACACGGGTGGCAATGTGGGTTAAACCACAGAGCCTAGGACTTGCCGATCAGAAGGTCGGCGGTTCGAATCCCCGTCACGGGGTGAGCTCCCGTTGTTCGGTCCCTGCTCCTGCCAACCTAGCAGTTCGAAAGGACATCAAAGTGCAAGTAGATAAATAGGTACTGCTCTGGCAGGAAGGTAAACGGTGTTTCCGTGCGCTGCTCTGATTCGCCAGAAGCAGCTTAGTTATGCTGGCCACATAACCCGGAAGTTGTACGCTGGATCCCTCGGCCAATAAAACGAGATGAGCGCCGCAACCCCAGAGTCGGTCACGACTGGACCTAATGGTCAGGGGTCCCTTTACCTTTACTATACAAAGCATAAACTCTATCACTGAGCAATAGTCCTTTTGTAGTAGGAGAGAAGCATTAGGAGTAGATAGAGGTGGTTGGGGCACAAAGAAATTGAGACATGAGTGAATCGAAATAGTGCCCTCTACTGGACGGGAAGTCTCACAGCAAATAATTACAAACAGATCCAGCTCCTCACAGAAATAAAAAAATAAAATAGAGGCTATATTCATTTCAGCTATCATTGTAATACGTTAAAACTTACTTTCTTTGCAAAAGGGAATTCATGCCCAAGACTAATTTAAGATTCCTATCAGTTAAAGGAATCATGTGTATGCACAGGGTTCCTCCCAAAAGAAGGGAATAGAGCATTTAAATGAAACTAATTATCACTGAGATTATCATAAATATCTGAACCAAAACATTTCTCTCATTGTTCAGTGCTCTTAAAGCCGTGTTTGGGAGCAGCTTCTTCTACTTAGCAAATGACACTTTGGGAAAAAGGATAATCACGCGCTATTAAGCATTTTGTATGTAATACTTTTACTGTTTCATAATGACTTTGATGTTTTACTATATTACGGGGGGAAACTATCAGCTACAGA